CATCTCTCGGATTATGGTTTGAAACGGTATGCGTCTAGGAAATTACTGAATCCATTAAAAGGTTTTCTATCAAAGATGTTTTTTTGATAAGAAGAACATTGATAATGTAAGTTGAAATTCAGTTCTGGGAAGTGATCTCTGAGGAACACGGTATCAAACCTGATGGATCCTATCATGGTGACTCGGAGCTTCAGTTGGAGCGCATTAACGTATACTATAACGAAGCCAGTGGTATGATATTGTCACGTTTATTCAATTGATTTTACTGATATTGGAAAGAATAAACTGAGAAAATGAATATTTACAGGTGGAAAGTATGTGCCGAGAGCGATTCTCGTAGATTTGGAACCGGGAACAATGGACTCAATTCGGGGTGGTTCCTATGGACAGTTGTTTCGTCCTGACAATTTCGTATTTGGTCAGAGTGGAGCGGGCAATAACTGGGCGAAGGGACATTACACAGAAGGTGCTGAATTGGTGGAAAACGTAATGGATGTTTTACGTAAGGAAGCAGAAGGGTGCGATTGTCTTCAGGTAATTACCTTTACGAGCGCAGTTATTCCACTAGTTACTTGAACGGTATGGTGATGTGATGTGACTGAAACTGCTTGAAAGACTTGCCTCGAACATTTTTTTGGCCTCTAATAATCTAAAAAATATTGCACATCAAATCCACTCGATTATAAGATAATGCCAATCGTTGAACAATTTTGTTTATCTCAAGCGTTTGTATCTGTCTTGTGTTGTAAAACTCAATATATTGACGTGAAACAATGATAGGTTCTTGTTTCATACTTTATCCTTGACATAGCGTTTACATTTGAGAGAATATATGATTACTTGCAGACTAAACTGAATCTACTTTCAGGGTTTTCAATTGACACATTCACTTGGTGGAGGTACTGGTGCGGGAATGGGAACTCTTTTGATATCGAAGATCAGAGAGGAATATCCAGATAGAATTATGGGCTCATTCTCAGTAGTTCCATCACCTAAGGTTTCTTGAGTTGTATTTGCAATTAATGAGTTGTCATTTACACTGGATTCAAATTGCAACTGATTCATTTGCATTTAATTCATACAATAATGTTCCAATGAAAACAATTAATCGGTTGCGTTCAGGTATCTGACGTTGTATTAGAGCCGTACAATGCAACGCTATCAGTTCATCAATTAGTTGAAAATACTGATGAGACGTTTTGCATTGATAATGAAGCATTATACGATATATGCTTGAGGACACTGAAACTTAGCAGCCCGACTTATGGAGATCTCAATCACTTAGGTACATTTATTTATTGCTTTAGGACCCTTCGATATTACTTTGAACTTATTTGATATTGCTATGGTAATTGTTTAAATGTTAACGATTCCGAAATGAAATCAGACTGATTCAATTCTATCAAACTGATCATTATTTGTTCTAAATGACAAATGACATAAAATGTCCTAAAGAAATAAATTAGAAGTCATGAATAAAAATATTGCAGTATCGATGACAATGTCTGGAGTGACGACGTGCTTGCGTTTCCCAGGGCAGCTGAATGCAGACTTGCGCAAGTTGGCAGTGAACATGGTACCATTTCCACGTCTTCACTTCTTCGTGCCTGGATTTGCACCGCTTTCAGCTCGTGGATCGGTTGCTTATAGAGCAGTTAACGTTGCTGAATTGACGCATCAGGTGGGTTCTTATTGTGTTGTTTGTCATTGTTAGTAGTGGTCTATCATAGGTTGACTACGGGTCGCATTTATTTCATAATAATTGTTATTACACTTCAGATGATTGATTACTTGATGAACATTCGTTTAGTCTAGGTTCTCGTTTATTGCTGTTTTAGATGCTCAATTACGTTTGATTTAAAAAAAAATTGAAGTGAGTGTTTTTGTATTAATTGTTGTAAAGGAGCGAAGTAATTCAGATGTTCGATTCGAAGAACATGATGGCCGCATGTGATCCAAGACATGGACGTTATCTCACAGTGGCAGCCATATTCCGGGGTCGTTTATCTATGCGTGTATGTCATTTAATGTGTTTATGTGTCATCATTGTCGTACGAAGTGTTGTCTGCTCAATAATGAATCACTGAACAAATCTGATGATCATTGTGTTTAATTAATCACGTCTCTTTCGATTCAGGATGTTGATGAACAGATATTCCAAGTGCAGAATAAGAACTCGTCGTATTTCGTGGACTGGATTCCAAACAACGTAAAAACAGCGGTTTGTGATATTCCACCTCGCGGACTTACAATGAGTGCGACTTTTATTGGTAACACAACAGCAATTCAAGAACTATTCAGACGCATCTCGGAGCAGTTCACTGGTTAGTCTTTTCTTCGGTGCGATACCATTATTCCGATGTTCCTTATTTTAACTATTCGGATGCTATTTTGTTAAATGACAACTCAGTTACGTGAAGTAACTTTAATTATTCGGAAAAATATTGTTTTCAAATGACAACTCAATATAATGGGCACCTAAACTTGAAGCGATGTTCCGTCGAAAAGCATTCCTGCATTGGTATACTGGCGAAGGAATGGATGAAATGGAGTTCACAGAAGCAGAGAGTAATATGAACGATCTGATAAGTGAATATCAACAATATCAGGATGCGACAGCAGATGATAATGAGTTCGACGGTAATGAAGAGGGAGAGGGCGATTCAAACGAGAAGGAGTTCGATGATTAATTTTGCCATTTGATATTGTTTGTATGGTGTTGTTCAGTTGCTAGGTTTCATTATCTGAATCGTTTCACAGATCCGTTACAGCTAACACTCACCTCAGATTGTTCTGATCTGTTTTGTCTTGATCTTCACCGTTTTCATCTTTTGCTGCTTTCTTCTATTTACCACCTTAATACGCGCTCTGCTTTAATTACGTCGATAAGCTATCAGTTTATAACGTACTCGGGCCTAGTTCAATTCTTTCACAAAGATTAACGTAAATGAAATGTTATTTGTTGGCTTATTCCAGTTCTCTGGAAGAATGAAGAACTATCACACTTTTGGTTGATTCTCTAGAACTCGTTCCTCCGAAATTTGTGTATTTTCCATCTAGTTCTTATTTTAACACCTCACAACCAGACATCATTGCATTCACCACAAATTCAAATTGTTTTTGAATAATTTCATTTTGTTTTCTCCTCGTGATAGATGCTAATAGATGAAATTTTTCAATATCAAAACATTACTTCTATGGTCACTGTATTGTATTCTCATGAAATCTTAAGTATACAACAGTCAATTTGTTGAATGTATATTCGACTGTTCCTTACCGGAGTTTATTTTTATGGTGCATGCGATTTTTGGATTGTTGAATTCATTGCGTTTTGTTTTGTGTGCTTTTGTTCAATAAATTCATTTCTTCTCAGCGAAACAAGTTTTTAGCAATGTACGCGAACGGTTCGAATTCAATCGTTGCCAAGTTATCGCTATCGTGCGTAGGGATGTTGAAGGAATTGAACCCCTAAGCACGCTTCCACAATGCGATGATAACTGCGAAAATCATCCGGAATGAACAACTTAGGTTCAAGTGCTTGAGTCAAGCGCTGGCTTAAGATGAGACTCATAGTTGGGCTTACGGTATGTAAAGGATGAGGGTATGTGAACTAAGTGGGCTGATTTTTGAAGCTTTCCGTGGTTGGTTAATTACCCTCTCACCATTATTTATTTGAGCAAAGAGCAACTATTCGGATACTATTTTACTAAATGACAACTCAGTTACTAATGTAACTTTAATTATTTGGAAAAAAAATTTTAATGACAACTCAATATAATGGACACATTAAACTTGAAGCGATGCTCCGTCGAAAGGCATTTCTGCATTTGTATAATGACGAGGAAATGGATGGAAAGGAGTTCACAGAATTAGAGAGTAATTCTTATGGCAGTTAAATATCAAGATCTCGTTATTTCTATGACATAAACTGGTTACATAAAATGGTATTCGACAGTAGCGATCAGGACTTCAGATACTAGTCGGTTCAAATGAACCCGTTAAACGCAAAACTCTAGAAATAATTGTTCATTCGTTCACTGCGTATTTACATACGAAGTGATTATGTAAAACAAGGCTAAAAAGAGCACGTATAAATAGGCAGCTTCTGTAATACAACAACTGTAACCAGTCCGTAACCAGAAGTACTAACCAGCGAGGCCAATCAGCGGCTCTCATAAAGAAATTCTCGCAAGTACGAGAAATCTCTAGTCATTCTCTGGCATCCCAGTTTAGAGAGGGTAGAGCATTGTTCAGGTCGATGAGCGAAAGTAACTTCAGGGAGAAGGAAACGAAGGGAATGGACAGCCTTTCCAACGAAGATAAAAGTCTAATGCGTCGAAAAAAGATAAAATGATAACAGGGTTATAATGCTGATGGTAATTCTGAATTGTGTATGCTTGAATATAACGAACTGATCAAGTACCGATAACATGCCAATTTATACGCACAGACGTGCAACCCAGTAAACATGTAAGACAAGTTTACAGAAGATAAATAATGCAGACTATCATATGAATGGAATAGAAATTTCATTCGCTCCGTTCTTGAGACCGTTTCATTGCGTGAATGTTCTTTACTGTAACAGTTGAAATGTTAAAGAATATCTGTAAACACTGAAGGAACATCCCTCAATGGGTTCGCACTTCAGAAACCCAATTATACTATCATCATACGCTTGAATTTCATCTATAGCTCGTTCATTACACAATTCTGTTGAAAATCATATATTTCGTGTGGAAACGGCAAAAGCAAATCAAAAGTATATCGATCTGCAGAATTTCATGCAATGAATCGATACCAAAAGAGAACAGTTTCTGCAATCGTTAAAAGTGCTCATTGTCAGCAAAATATTTTGCCGTTACAAATAGAGGATTACATGCTCAATTTTATTCGAAAATATGTTCATACCGACGCAATCGCAAGTTTCCATCTTGGACTGATTGGGAACGGTTCATAAGAAAGTCTTGAATACAATTGTATAGCGAGCCTCGTATACCATATGATTCAAAGATAGTTTGAGTATTGATACTGAGTCAAATGCTTTTTTATAGTCAAAGTATATTGTATCGATGTAGCCGCCTTCGTCTAAATGAGATACCCAGTTTTGGTACGATCGAAGTAGGCCCGTTGTGGTTGACCTTCTATCGAGAAAACCATATTGGAATGGGGAGAACAGCTTATTAACCATGGTTTCTGAGTTCTGATGCAATTATTTTTTCAATAATTTTGGAAATTGAGCAGGTTAATGAGGTGGGGCGGTAGTTTTGCGGATTAATGATTGAACCACTTTTGCGCACAGGTCTGATGATTACTGATTTCCACCAAAAGAGAACTGAGCCAGTCATTTGAGATTCGTCGTGATCGTCTCTGTGAACTGAAATGAAGAAGTTTTGAAGAATTTGGGCTCGGGAGTGGTCATCCGTAATTATGTTATCGAGATTATCCTTTAATGGGCCTATATCTTTACTAGAATTCAGTACATCATTAGTGTATTTGTAAAATTTTCGAACGTTAGTATGTTTAGCCAGGTTATTTTCATAATTCAATTTGAAGCGACAG